ACTATACATCTTCATAGTATAAAACTTGAAATTATAAAAAAAAAAAAAAACACCTTGAAATTATAAAAGGAATATGCCATGCAAGTCCTTTCCTTCCAACCTACTTTGCAGCCACTTGGTGACCGTCCCAAGAGAAGCAATTTTAGAGGCACTGATTGTCTTCCTAAAGACGACTTAGACCATCCAATGTACATTATCTCTCTCCCCTTCTTTTTACACAAGTGATAGAATTCTCTACTCCCTGATCCGGCATCTTCCTTTTTTCACTTGACTATGTATCTAAACTTTTAATATTTACACATAAATGGCTGCTTTGTTATCTTTTTACAGCTCCATGGAATCCCATTTCATATATGTACCACTAATCAACCAGTTACTGAAAGTTCATTTCCAAACTTGAACTTAGCAAAACTTTTGAATAGATATTTGGAGTGGGTCTTGACTTCTAAATTTATAAAACCTTATAATAAAGTCTCAGGTTGCTTTAGAAATAGGAAGTGGTTTGAGTTCCCTTAGAAGGTGCCTCGCAGGTGGTGGAACAAGAGAAATGTTCCTTTGGGGCAGTAGGTCTGGGTTCGTGAGGTCAGGAGGTAGGTTCCCTTACAGAAAGCTGCACTGGTACTTGGGGGGTGCTCGGTAACAGTTTGCCCTTCTTTCAGGCAGGCCATCATCCTCACTAAAGGAGCCATAGGTCACTTCCAGGAGTCCGAACCCTTCAATCACATGGACCCAGAGGAATCGGAGGAGACCAGAATCCTGAATCTTTTAGGAACTGTCTTCAAAGGTAACTCCTTTACCTTCTTCAGTCAACAAACAAAACCTTTCTGCTAGTATAAGTAAATACTTATGCCAGACACAGGCCAGGCTATCCAGCACCTAGTGCTAAAAAACCAAAGGGGAGTTGGCAGTGCTTTTGCTTTAGAATGAAAGCCAGCCATGGCCTACGATTGATAGTCACAGGGTATTTCCAAACCATAGAGGACTTGAGGAATCATTTGAGAAATGAACCAGGAGTAGTTCTTACTTTCCTGTGTTGGAAAGAAATGTCCCCACATACTTTTGAAGAAAAACTATCCTATAACTGTATTTCAAACGCTAGGCCCAGCATCTTCTACTGAAGAAAAGGATCCCCAGGGTTCTACAGGAAACATGGACCCAAGACAGACTAACTGTAAAGACAAGCCCAGTGTGCCTGAGCCCATGAAATCCATGGAAAATGATGAACTGGTGAAGCAGGAGATGCTAGTGCAGTATCTGCAGGATGCCTATAGCTTCTCTCTGAAGATCACACAGGCCATTGGCATCATTAGCAAGATGATGTATGAAAACACAACTACAGGTATGTAGAGCCCCTCTTTGTAAAGACTGGATCTTGAGACTGGAAAATCTAGTCCATATTTCATTGATCTCATCTGCACCTTTTTACTTTTATAGCACTGGACTTTTTTTTTTTTTTTAAGATTTATTTATTTATGCATACAGAACTGGGGTACAGGCCAGAGGTGCAACAGCAGTAAGAGAATTCACCAGAGACAGTGGGGAGCAGAACAGGCGGATCAACAAAGTATACTACTGAGAGGAGCAGCGGGCGGGTCAGGAGAGGTCTGCTGTACTATATGAATCACCTCCAGGATGGGATGGGAGAGCGAACTCAGCACTGAAGCTGCTGCAGCCAGCCTCGCAGTGCTGAGCTCCAACCCTCTATGCCACCAGGAGGGGCCCACCTTTTTGCCTTTAAAGATTTATTTTTTATACATGTAAGAACTAAGGTATGGGGGTGAGATGATTCACCAGAGACAGAGTGGGGTGCAGAACAGGCAGATCTACTGAAGTATACTGCTGAGGAGAGCAGTAGGAAAGGTCTGCTGTGTCATGTGGGCCGCCTCCCTGGTCTGGGATCAAACTCATGCTGCAGTGCTGGCTATATCTTAATAGCGCTGTGTCTTTAACCCCTGTGCCAGCAGGGAGGCCCTCAGCTACACCTTTAAAAGGCAGGGATTCTTACACGTGAATAAACATACATTGATTTTAAAAAATCAGAAGTTAAGTGACAAAATAAGAGATTTTGACCTATAATTTGTTCAAGCATTACATCATCAGTTTCACTAATAAAATGAAAAGTAAATGAGTTTTCTTAAAAAGGCAGGGATTCTTCATTTCTGTTTGCTTTGCATAGCCCCATGAAGTTTACATATTTTAAAGCCTCTAATATTTTATAGAAGTTGACATTTTCCAAGAAGACTTCATTTACATATTGCTACATTAAGAAAACTGCTATCTTTTTTAAAGATTTATTTATTTGTGCATACAGAACTGGGGTGCAGGCCAGAGACTCAGGGGTGGTGAAAGACTTCACCAGAGACAGAGTGGGGAGCAGAACAGGCAGATTGACGAAGTACACTGCTGAGGGGAGCAGCGGGCGGGTCAGGAGAGGTCTGCCACACCATGTGGTCACCTCCGGGGCAGGCGGGAATCGAACTCATGCGGAAGTGGTTTCAGCTTCTTAGTGCTGTGCTTTAACCCGCTGCGCCACCAGGGAGGGCCCAAGAAAGCTGCTATCTTTAAGTATTGGGGGAGTTTTGCCAAGCAGGTGACATTGTATCTGTCTTCTCAGTGGTACAGGAGGTGATTGAATTCTTTGTGACGGTGTCCCAGTTTGGGCTTCCCCAGGCCCTGGTAGGGGTACGCCGCATGCTTCCTCTCATCTGGTCTAAGGAGCCTGGTGTCCGAGAAGCTGTGCTTAATGCCTACCGCCAACTTTACCTCAACCCCACAGGGGACTCTCCCAGGTATGGGTACTTTTTCCTGAGCTGCTCATAGGATGTTTTTAATTCTACAAGTTGTGTAGGGGAAAGGGGATATCTTTCCAGAGGAGCTCTGAATCCATAAGCAGTAGTTCTATAATGGGACTCAGGGAGAGCTGAATTGCTACTCTACAATGGAACTCAGGGCAGAGCTGAATTGCTAGTGAAGCTCCTCCTCCACAGTTACTTCACACTGGTGGGAGAGCCCTAATGACTAGTTTGCAGGGTTCAACCTTGTCTCTCTCTCTCTCTCTCTTTTTTTTTTTATGATTTATTTTTATGTATTTATGCATATAAGAACTGGGGTGTAGGCCTGATGTGCAGGGTGAGGGGATTCGCCAGAGACAGAGTATGGAGCTAAACAGACGTGTCTACTGAAATACACTGCTGAGGGGGAGCAGCGGGTGAGATGAGAGGTCCGCTGCTGTGGGTCAGCTCCCTGGTCAGGGATCAAACCCAGGCAATAATGGCTGGCAATAGTTTAATAATGCTGAGACATCAACACCTGCACCACCAGGGAGGCCCAACTTAATGACCTCTGATCTTTTCTATTCCCACAGAGCCAAAGCCCAGACTTTGATTCATAATCTCTCTTTGCTGCTTGTGGATGCCTCAGTTGGGACCATTCAGTGTCTTGAGGAAATTGTAAGTCTCCTCACTTCTGCTTTATTCATTCAGCAAGTCATAGTGAGTGATTACTTCTGTCAGCAGTTTACCCCACCCCACAAAGAAGTATAAGGTACTGGGCTTTCAAGTTCCAGCTTTAAAGGAACAAACCATTTAGTTAGTAGGCAAATCATGAAACAATTCAGCAGATAATAAAGTGCCAGAATAAGTGACATTGGTAATGATTGTTGTAGCAATGGTAATAAAATAACAGTAGCACTACTTTAGACTTCAGTCATATTAAGTTGATGTTCACAAAAACCTCATGAGGTAATATTATATACATCTTACAGTGAGAAACCTGAGGCAGAGAGCTAAGGAACATTACTAGTTACACCTAGTTAGTGACAAAGTTGAAGATTCAGACTGAGACATCATGCGCTCCGGGAGTGAGCCTCGTGGCTTCTGTGCCTTCCAAGCCAGCAGTGTGGGAAAGCCCAGTGCATGTGGGACAGCCAAGAAAAGCTTCCTGCGGGTGGTAGGATGTGTTAGGTTTTGACATGTAGGAATTAGAGGGGAAAGGAAGCATTTCAGTGGAAAGTGAAGAAAGTGCACAGCTATGTTGGAGAATGAGGGAAATTGTGTTCATCTCAAAATTGTTACCTGGACAATATAATAAAGCTGGAATTGTAGATTGCAACTAAACTGTGAAGGTCCATGAGTGCCTTCAGGAGCCCAGGACTCTCAGCTTGTTAGCCAAGAGACCAGCATTCTAGTGAGCCGCATCTCTCTTGGGCAGTTGGATCGTGGGATAGGCAGTGAAGCTGGTGACCCCCAGAGCCACTCAGAGGAGCACCCGGGCCACCACTGTCTTCCTCACTGGGGAAGAGCGAACCTGGCAGTAGCAATTGGCCAGAGACCTGAGAGGCTAGGGGCTAGTCAGGACCTGCCACCGCAGGCAGAGGCGAGCTAGCTGCCTGTAGGTGATGGGCAGGGCCTGGCAGGGGCAGGAGGTGTCCGGGAGGCTGATCCTGCAGTAACACATGAGTGGCTGGAAAGGAGGCCAGGGACAGGAGTCCCCAGAGGCTGCTTGGTGTGCAGCGAGAAGGCTCGGCTCCAGGGGAGGGAGGAAAGCTAAAGAGCTGCATTCATGGAAGACAACTACTCAAGGAACAATGGGGGGGGGGGGCAACTGGTTCATTAAAATGTTAGGTGGCTGAAGTTGTAGGCAAATGTGACTAAGAGTGTGAGGACCATTTGCAAAATGAAAAGGTGTGGTGAAGACTTCCATTTTAGACATGTTGAGTTTGTAGTAAGAGCAGGAAAACCTCTTAGAAACTTCTGGAATATGTTAGGTCTATAGACCCACATGGAACATAGTATCAGTTTTGATGTTGTGTTAATGTAGGTCGTTTGAGGGCATGCGCTAGAAGAGTAGCTGGAAGAGACAAATGGCTCCTCAGCCGCCTGCTTTTTTAGCTCGCTTCTTCCGTTTACATTCCTAAGTGTTGCTTTTACCCATTTCACATTCTCACCATTCTCTAGAGAAGTGGCCCCAGGAACAAGGGAATTGTTATTTCTGGCTAAGCACCTTCTCTTTTCAGCTCTGTGAGTTTGTGCAGAAGAATGAGTTGAAACCGACAGTGACCCAGCTGCTGTGGGAGCGGGCAACCGAGAAGGTCCCCTGCTCTCCTCTGGAGCGCTGCTCTGCGGTCATGCTCCTTGGCATGATGGCACGGTAAGGCGTAGGAGGGGAGAGGACGCTTCCCTTACTTTGTAACAAAGCCATTGAATTCTGCATTTAGGGAAAAATTCCCGAAAAAAACTTAGTGGAATTGCTGCTACTTTCAGCAGAAAGGTGGGATTCAGTAGAACGTGGGTCCCAAGGGCCAAGTGTCTCAGATTAGCATCTCTCTGGTGCTGCCGGGCTCTGTCCCTGCGTTTCATGCTGACGTCTAGCCCCGCCCCACACGTGCCCCACTCCGCCCTGCCCAGGACTGCCGTAACTCTGGCTTCCTTCCCTAGAGGAAAACCAGAAATTGTGGGAAGCAACCTGGACACACTGGTGAGCATAGGGCTGAATGAGAAGTCTCCACAGGACTACAGGCTGGCCCAACAGGTGTGCCATGCCATTGCCAACATCTCTGACAGAAGAAAGGTATGTGGAGTGGTTACTCCCCACCTGAGGCGCGTGGAGGCCCTCTTACCCAGCCTCTGCACACACCCCCATTTGCCTTTCTCGTTCACGACAGCCTTCTCTGGGCAAACGTCATCCTCCTTTCCGGCTGCCTCGGGAACACAGGTTGTTCGAAAGACTGAAAGACGTGGTCACAGAAGGTGAGTCACTGAGAAGGCCCTGGGGCAGAATTGGGTCCTTTGTGGTGAACAACTTTTCCCCCTTCTCTACAGGCTTTGTCCAACCAGACCCCCTCTGGATCCCATTCAAAGAGGTGGCGGTGACCCTCATTTACCAGCTGGCCGAGGGCCCTGAGGTGCTCTGTGCTCAGATACTGCAGGGCTGTGCGAAGCAGATGCTGGAGAAGCTGGGGGAGAAGAGCACCAGCCAGGAGGACCCCAGTACGCGCCCAAGCGGATTAGAGGGCCCCTGGGGTAGTAGCCAGTTTCTGCCACTTCCCTGCCAGGCCGCGAGCCGCCCCCCGTTCCTTTAATCAGCCCTGAGCCCTCATGCACAGCCGCATTTTTGTCACTCAAGCTGAGCCAGTCCCCACGCCAAGCCCCCATCGTAGTGAGTTTGTGCCGCACATGAGCAAGAAAAGCACTAACCACGTGGTGCAGTCGTGTGTGTCCTGATTACTTCTCTCCCTGCCGCCCCCACCCTCCCCCCGTTCAGAAGAGACCCCCAGGCTCCCCACTCTCCTGCTGATGAACCTGCTGTCCCTGGCTGGCGATGTGGCCCTGCAGCAGCTGGTACACCTGGAGCAGGCAGTGAGTGGGGAGCTCTGTCGACGCCGAGTTCTTCGGGAAGAACAGGAGCATAAGATTAAAGGCCCGAAGGAGAAGGTAAATGGCGCGCCTGGACAGCGCCCGGGCGTGTTTCGCGCCTTCGTTCACATTGCCTTCTGGGGGTCCCTGCTGCTTGACTGTTAAGAAGTGACAAGACATCCTGCCTCCTAGCTGCTGCTACTCTGGGAAAGGTTAGTGAGAACATGGATGGAACAGTCTGTCCGTGATCACCTAGCAAGGAAAGTTTGAGGTAAATACAGTGTCGAGTTAAGGAAAGTCAACATAAAGTATAGGCTGTACGCTGAGGGCAGCGCCTGTCAGAACATGCAGCACAGGCCCCTCCTTTCCCGTCAGCCTTAGAGCCTGGACTGGCACCCAATGGGGAGGTGCCTCCAGTTCTCTCCCCTAGAGGCGGCGACATCCCCAGACGAGGTGAAGGCTGACCAGCCTACCTTTTGGCGTGGCCTGTGTTTGTACAGGAAAGTACATGCTTCTGCTTGGATGAGTTAAGAAGAAACATAGGAATATCTTTTCACAATTTGTTTAAAAACAAATACAGGGGAGCTCATTCTTGTTTACTTCAGGAGTCATCCCTCTGCTCAGCCACAGCTGTCAATTCTGTGATGGCTTTTCGGGAGTAACCTTCCCCAGATCCAGTCACAGACCATGACGTGTAGCCTGGAGTTAGAGCTGTCTTCTCTGACCATGCATGACCGCTGCTGCTTTCCCATTAGAATCCAAGCTCTGAGACCACCATGGAGGAGGAGATGGGGCTGGTGGGCGCTACCGCTGATGACACAGAGGCAGAACTAATCCGTGGCATCTGTGAGATGGAACTGTTGGATGGTAAGAAGAATCGCTGAGTGACCCCCCGCTGCAGTAGCCCTTCCCAAGCCTAGAGCTGCTCTTCCAACAGGCGGACAGATCCTGGCTGCCTTTGTGCCCCTGGTGCTGAAAGTCTGCAACAACCCCGGGCTCTACAGCACCCCGGAGCTCTCTGCAGCAGCCTCACTCGCCCTTGGCAAGTTCTGCATGATCAGGTAAGCCCCGCTGGCACTGCCCCTTGGGAAGTTCGGGCAGCAAGGCTCCCTGACCATCCTCTCCTTGCCCCTAGTGCCACTTTCTGTGACTCCCAGCTGCGCCTTCTCTTCACCATGCTAGAAAAGTCTTCACTCCCTATTGTCCGATCTAACCTCATGATTGCTACTGGGGATCTGGCCATCCGCTTCCCCAACCTGGTGGACCCCTGGACACCTCATCTGTATGCGCGGTAAGAGACACCCCCAAGGCTCTGGCAGCTCCTCAGCTCTGGGAGGCTGTGTTGGCCGAATCGGCAGGGAAATCAGCAGGGCTGTCGCCTCTGGTCCTCTGCGTGGCCTGTCCACCTAACTGATACTTGGCCTGTGAAGCCCAGGCTACACGAGGCCCAAAGGCACTGACACCGCCTTCTACAAGCGTCACTCTTCCCAGCCCCAGCTTTCAACTCTAGACAGATTTCTAACTGCTTCTAGATTCAGGAAACAACAGGTTCCTATTAAGGTCAGGGCCTTGCCTACTAGTGTCAGTGTGGCCCAGCCTTGGGCCCAGTGACTTGCGGTCTCCTTCCCAGCCTCCGGGACCCAGCCCAGCAAGTGCGGAAGACAGCAGGGCTGGTGATGACCCATCTGATCCTCAAGGACATGGTGAAGGTCAAGGGGCAGGTGAGCGAGATGGCAGTGCTGCTCATTGACCCCGCCCCCCAGATTGCTGCCCTGGCCAAGAACTTCTTCAACGAGCTTTCCCATAAGGTGAGAAGCTAGAAGGCCGCTTTAGGCTTGTTGCTGAGCAAGCGTGTTGGTTACCTGTGTCTTTAATATGACTCTCTCTTACAGGGCAACGCAGTCTACAATCTCCTTCCAGATATCATCAGCCGCCTGTCAGACCCTGAGGGAGGCGTGGAGGAAGAGTCTTTCCACACCATCATGAAGTACAGTCCCCGGCCTTGAGGCTCAGTTATCCTCTAGCACAGTCATAGGATTTAGACAATCTGTACTTGAATTCTAGTTCTGCTACTTTTTTGCTCTCTGGCCTCTAGCAGTAACTTATGGCTCACCTGTCCTATTCCTCTATAAAGTGAGGCGAGTGTTACCCTTCATTCTTATGAAAATTCAAGAATATAAAGTTCCTAATGTGGTGGTGGGCACATGATAATACTAAGCAGCTGCTTTTGTTACACATTTCTGTTCAGCTGAAAACTCCTCAGGGGCATGGGGTGGCCCCTTCCCTGAGCTAAGGGAAAGGGCAAGAGGAAGAGTGAGGTTGGCATGGGCTAAACAGAGTAAACTTCTAAGGCAAGAGGGTGACAGAAGGCTGGTGCTTCCGGGGAGGTACAGGGCTGCTCCTAGTGGACAGTGTGGAGTTGCCCCTGGGAGGTGACACAGCCGCATCTCCCCCTGCAGGCAGCTCCTCGCCTACATCACCAAGGACAAGCAGACTGAGAGCCTGGTGGAAAAGCTGTGTCAGCGCTTCCGCACGGCCCGGTATGCCTCCCCATGAGGGCTCTTTGTGCTGGGAAGGGCCCCGACGGTGGCCCTGGGGTGTGGAAAACTGAGGAGGGACAGGCCTGTTCTTCCTGGGGGTCTCTCCGCTCCTCACCAAGCCTTTCTCATCCGCAGGACCGAGCGGCAGTATCGGGACCTGGCCTACTGCGTGTCACAGCTGCCCCTCACAGAGCGAGGCCTCCGCAAGATGCTGGACAACTTTGACTGCTTTGGAGATAAACTGTCAGACGAATCTGTCTTCAGTGCCTTTCTGTCAGCTGTGAGCAAGCTGCGGCGTGGGGCCAAACCTGAGGGCAAGGTGAGCTGCGCAGCGGCTGCCAGCAGGAGCTGGTGCCTGGCAGAGACCTCACCTTGCTGCCGTGCCCCGGCCTGCAGGCAGCCAAGTAACCAGAGGAACCCAAGACTGGATCTTTCTGTCTGCGTTGCTTGTTTCTTTCTCCCTTTATTTAAAATAGATTTTATTTTCTAGAACAGTTTTAGGTTCCAAACAAAATTGGGTAGAAAGTCGAGACAGTTCCCTCAAGTGGCCCCTGCCCCCCACGTGTACACCCTCCCCCACTGTCAACACCCCCCTCCAGAGTGGCACACTTGTCACAATCAATGGACCTGACTTGACACATCACTACCACCCAAAGTCCACAGTGTCCATTGGGCTCACTCATTCAGTTTTTAGACAAATGATAACCTGTGTCTACCACTATAGTGTCGCTCGGAATAGTTTCACTGCCCTGAAAACCCCCTGGGCCCCCACACACCTACCTACCGCCTTGTGCCGCTGGCAACTCCTGGGCTTGTTGATGTGTCCGGCTGGGCCTTCTCCGTAACACCGAGTCGTAGGAGTCACACAGAATGTGCCTTCCTCAGACTTCTACTTCGTGCTCTGTGCATTTAAGTTTTCACCATGATTTTTCATGGCCTTGTTTCTTTTGAATCAGAAATAACTACACTTACAGGCCACCGTTGATCTCTTTTCTCCCTCTAGGCTATAATAGATGAATTTGAACAGAAGCTGCGGGCCTGTCACACCAGAGGGCTGGATGCAGCAGAGGAACTTGAGACTGGCCAAGGAGACAGCCAGCGGGCCCTGTCAGCCAGGAAGCCACCCGCTGGTATGCATGGCGGCCACAGGGTGTCAGGGAGCCCCAGCGGGGCCTGCTCTGCGCTGGAGCTTACTTTTGTTTTGGACTCATGGCTTCCTGCCTGCCCTTTCTAGGCTCCAGGCAGCAGCATCTGGCATCTGCAGCCTCGGAGAGTGACTTCGTCACACCAGAGCCTCGCCGCACCACCCGGCGGCATCCACACACCCAGCAACAGGTTTCAAAAAAGAAACCCAAGGTGGTCTTCTCAAGTGACGAGTCCAGCGAGGAAGGTAGGGCGCGCCCTCTGACTCGCGGGGAGCAGCGTGGCGTGGGGGTGGGTTCTGATGGCTGCTCCCGACCGCGCTGCGGCCACTTCCCCCTGTGCAGTTTCTGCAGTGTGGTCCTGGACACTTCTCTGAGATTTGTTTTTCACCATCTTTGTGACTCAGCTCTTTCTTATTCCCCCAATTCTTTGAATAGAGCTTTCAGCAGAGATGACAGAAGATGAGACACCCAAGAACACCACCCCCATCCGCCGAGCGTCCACTCGCAGACTCAGGTCGTAGGACGCCGCCCTGCCTGCCCCTCCCTGCCGTGCAGGGTACTTGCGGGGCCACCTTGACTTCGTTTCCTTGTGAAATTCTTACTTGCCTGTCTCCTGGTTTTTAATACATAAATAATTTCTTTTAAACTAGCCTAACTTAACTGAGGTGAGCTGTTTTCACCGCGACGTTTGCCGTGTTCTTCTTTAAACACCCTTGGGCATTTCTCCTGCACTTGTCTTTGGTTCATCTTTCACGGAAGCCCGGACGCAGGCACATGAATGGTTCTCGGGGCTCACGGAGATGAGACAGGAGTCCTGGGGCCCGTGTCGAGATCTGGTGGGCTGGCGCTCCCTGGTGCCCCCTCTGCCTTCCTGGCCGCCTGCCTCTGTGCACCAGCATCACGCCACTGAGAAGCGTGCAGCCACCACTCAGCTCAGTCTGAGTCTGAGGGCAATTTCACCCCCAGGGGAGCATCTAGAGACTTTTTTTTATTGTCACAATGTGAGGAGAGGGTGCTACCGGCATCTAGTGGGCCGAGCCAGTGCTGTGGCTAAATACCTTACAATGCACGGGGCAGCCCCCACAACAAAGAATGATTTGGCCCAAAGTGTCAATAGTGCCAAGGTTGGGAAACCTTGCGTGAGGCCTAGGGCAGGCTCTGTGTCCTGCCCCACCCCCACTCACAGTCCTGATGTCTGCAGACTGGCCACTGACCCGGCCAGGCTGGTGGAAGTCGGGCCACATACCCCTCCAGCCCTGGACAGTGTCTGCCAGGGTCTCCAGTCTCATGGAGCTGGCAGGAAGCTGAGCGCTAAGATGCAGGTGCTGGCAGTGTGCCACCCACAGCCTGGCCCCCTCCAGCTCCACAAGTCATCTCTGCTGAGTCACCTGAACAGGAGGCGGTGTGAGTTGCTGTCATGACAACAGCAGGCTGCGTCAGCCGTGCTCCCTGGGCACCGAGCGCCCTCCTTGCTGGCAGAGGGCAGTCACAGAAGGTGACAAGTGTGAGGCACCGGGGAAGTGGCACTCAGACATAATGCTTTGGATAGTGCAAGGGGCCTTGGTCGGTAAGGGTCTCTGGTCCTGATGGAGCCTGAGCAGGATGTACGGCAACGCCGCCGGGCTTCCTCCTCTTCCCCCAGGAGTCTGCAGTGTGGGCGCCCCACTGCTCTCTCACAGGTCCCTCCCTCTGCTCTCCAGAGAAGCCTGCACACCAGCCTGGAGGGGGCTGACAAAATCCCAGACGGCTCTCGGACCCACAAGCGAGGACAGTCCTAGAAAGGGAAGGGGCTGGAGTGGCGGTGCAGGGCACAGCATGCTCCTGCCTTTTAAGCAAAGGTTATCACCAGGCAGGCTAAACTTAGCAACAGGCTCTTGGGCCTGAAAAGGGGGCTGGTGTCCGGTTGTGCTGGGCCAGCAAAGAGGCCCCAGGATCCCCCATTCCTGGCACCTGTTGATGGGGCAAGTCTGTTTCGCCCTGCCTACTTCTAAATCCTCCAAGTGCTCCAGAGCCAGCCCTCATCAGCGCCAAACCTGGCACCGCCCAGAGTCCAGCCCCTGGTGATGGGAAATTAATCCCTCTACCCCACTTGAAGGCGCAGGGCCCTCAGCTAACATTTGCCTGAAACCTCCCAGTTTTCCTTCCCTGGACTCCACCCAGCCGCAAACACCCTCTGGCCTCAGTGAAAAGGAGTCCCTGGCTCCAGGGCTGGCTGGCACGTCCCAGGTTAGGGAGGGACTTCCGCCCTCACGTCCAGCTCTGCCTTGTCCAGCTCTGCCTTGCGTGGAGGAGGTGAAAGGGGCATTGTCTCCCAGCCTGGGCTGCACAGACTGCAGAGGCCCCCATCTTGGGCTGGTCCCAGGGCTGGGGGAGAGCAGGGGACACACAGGGCGGCTGCGGCTGCCCTTGTTATCAGGAGCTGTAGGACATCGTGGTCATCGGTGTGAAAACCACCTCCAGCGCCTCCTTTCCTGCCGGCCCCCACAGTCCTGCGTCCTGCCTGATCCCTGGCCCAGAAAGGTCCAGAGCCAGGGGACAGGGAGGACCTAGGGGCTGGAGAGGGCCGGGAAGAGGCGTGATGCCAGGGGGCTCCCCTCCCCCGGCCCTCGCCTCTAGCTGTTCCGTGTTTACCAAAGATTCTGGAGAAGCGCCTCGGTCTTCGAAAGAGGAGGCAGGCAGGAAGCCACGATCAGTCGCGAGCTTCAACCTGCCGGTCTCACCCGCGCAGCCGCCTCAAAGCCCCCGGCACCCCAGGCTGTTCTCAGCTTTCACTAGGGCTGCCGGCCTCGAGTCCATAGTCCACCGCGCCCAGTCGGGTTCCAGGCAACGCCTATCACCTGCCGCTGTGGGCCTATCTCAGCCCCTCTGTCCACCCCAACTCCTGAGTCCCCCACCCCACCCCCACCCCCAGCCCACACGCTTGGTGCGTGCACATTTGAAAAACCCGGAGTGCCCAAAGCCCAAAAAAAGGTGGCGCCGCTATTCGCGGCTTTACGGGTGCACGTAGCTCAGGCCTCCGCGCCCTTGGGCAGGGACTGGGCGAGCCGGCGGGGGGCGGGCCGCGTCACCGCTTCCCCGCCACGCCCCGCTGCTATAAATTGGGACCGCAGCCTCCCCGGGTGCTCTCTGCTCCTCCCGGCCCCACAGACAGCCGCCTCTTCTCGCGCAGTGCCAGGTAAAAGCGGGCAGGGCGGGCACAGACTCCAGGCTGGCGACGACTCCGAGAGGG